GATGTTCATGATATGACAGAACCGTAAATAATATCTTATGTAATTTTCTGCCGTGAGTTGGTCATTTTACGCATAGTAATGCAGGACATGATCATCATACCGTTTTAATACATTGTGTTTTGAGAACAATCTGATAGACGTTTTCTAAATTTAACTTCTTCTTCTTTACGTACTATCTCCGCGACAAAGGTTGGTAATTATCACTGCTATTCTAACTTTTGACACCACAGCCCGAAAGAATTCAGTTGAGCTGCATTCAAACCGTTCTCTGAGGTTTATTATCCAGGACATTCTTCCTTTACTTATGCTGCGCTTTCCTTAAAGCTTTTCCTGTATTATTAGTTTCAGGAATTCATATCTATCACCGCGTGTTATATATCCCAGATATTGTAGTTTTCTTATTTTGATGAAACATAAATCCAGTATCTCCCTGCTGTTCTCTATTCTTCTTAGTACTTCTTCATTGGTTATTCTGTCTGTCCTGGAGACTCCAGGAGATTCTTCGATAGGTCCACATTTCAAATGCCTCTAATTTATTGAGACGTTGTTTATTTAAATTATATGTCTCCACACCATACAAAAGAACATAAAATTCATAACACTTTACTACTACTCGTTTTCTACTATTAAGGCTGAATTCTTTATAACATAATGTTTGTTTCATATTATTAAATGCACTTCTAGCCTTTGCTATTCTAACATTAATTTCTTTGGTATAATCGTTTGTTTCATTAATGTTTACCCCTAAATAGTTATAATTCTGAACTCGTCATATCGTCTTATTATTACGTATAGATTGATGTATCTAATATTTTTCTTTGATATAACCATGAATTTTGTTTTCTTTATGTTAAGTGACAGACCAAATTTTTCACTCGCTGCAACAATCTTATCTAAAACTCTTTGTAGCTCTGTAATATTTTCTGCTATTAGTATTGTAATCATACCGTTTTTATACATTGTGTTTTGAGAACTGTAATCTGATGTAGGACGTTTTCTGACTTTTACACTTGTATATATTTATTTATGTAAACGGTACATCATAGCCTCCAATGTAGCTTTTTATATCCTATACAAGCAACAGTGACCTTCAGAGTGCAAATACAAGCCGATATTTACAAACATTTAAAACATAGTTATGGGATTGAAACACTGAGACTCTTCCGATATTTAGTTTTTATTATTAAACTGCGAAAAACTATAAGAAATGCCCAGCTATACAATAAACGAGCTATTATAATTATGACATAAACTATAAGAAGTATTTGTCTTCCGCAGAACTACCTCAGAAAATATATACTAAATCAAGATAAAACCAAAGTGACATCGTCGATCCCCAAGAGCAGAGCTAAAACTAGAAAGACTAATCAAAACTTTAGTGTGAACAACAATTCTAAGGTCATAATCATATTCAAATATCTCGATTTCCAGTTGACTAGTCGCCACAGTACAAATAAGGAATTAAAAAGTAGGATACTACTAACGATACGTAACGTAACGATATATGTAACTTTGGATAAACAAACATGTCAATAACAGAGCATTAAGCTAATCATCCTATTAGTGTTGACATATTTGTCAAAAGCGCTGACTATTTCAAAGTGATTTTATTTAACTATAAACGAAAAGTACTTGGTGTCATCTGTATAAATGGAATTTATAGCATGCAATATGACTTAGAAAGCTAAAAGAAATGTAAAGAGATGGAAAATGCAGGGATATGCCTAATATTTTTCCTTATTGATAGAACACTTTCGAAAAGGTGACTAAAACCTATCTCCCTAGAATGATTATCTCATTTAAGCAGTAGCTAATCTACTTAAATATCTACTTCTATTAAAAAATAATAACAAACTAGGTGTACAGCGGTACACGATATTATTAGATTGGCTAGAACAGGCAAGTTATTTTGGGGAGACCATGTTGACAGAATCCCAGAAGAGAAATGGACAAGATAGGTTAAAACTCAAACACAAACATGCGAAGTCTAGTAGTCAAATCAACAAAACGATGGTACTAGAAAAGTTCAGATGCACAGGAAGACCACATAAGAAGTCTCAACATATGGTGTAAATATATCCCTATTTAAAAAATTTATTTAAAATTTTTTTAATAAAGGTATATAATTAATTATATATCTTTTATAAAGGATGTTTAAATAAATTTTTTGTGATACATGGTATACAGTTAGCTACAGAAACTTCGTTTCTTTGTGTATATCCCTGTTATAAAAAATGGAAAAGAAGAAACATTTTATAATACAAAAGAAGAGAACAAGGAATAATCATTGCTCTTTAAAATGTTATTAAAATATTTTATACGTTAGTAACAAGAGCCCAAAAACAAAAAACAGAAAAGTTAATGAGCGAGAAATTTATTGTCCAATTCATTATCAGCCACCAACAGTTCAAAATGTCTGGTCAATACTCCTTTGTGGTGTGAAAACTTTGATAATTACCTTAACATCAAATCCGTTTAAAACATAAACTGCTTCTTTATTTATTTAAATTATATATATATATATATATATATATATATATATATATATATATATATATATATAATGCGCTGCTTCTGAATCCATGGTGAGTAGGTACGAATCCATAAGGCAAGAATATGGATTTACATTTCCCAATATAAAGAGAAAAACAAAAAAAATTATTGATGTCAAAATCGAATAGAAAATTAGACTATCCTTTCTAACTTATTCATTCTAAATCGTCTGGAATAATGGAGAATGACTTTTAATGTATCAAATATTTTACATAAAACAAGCCTAAACTTTTACCACAAGGATCAGTTATAAGCTCAACCTTTTTTCTAATAGCCATAAACGACATACTTCAACAATGCTCACCGATGGTTAAAGAAAAAATATACGACCATGACTTAGTTTTACTTGCCAAAGGAAAAAACTCTACATCTATTCAAAAATATTTACAACAAACAATCAATCAGTTAGAATTATGGTCTATCGGATTACAATTTTCACCGATAAAAACTAAATGTATTTTATTCATATGAAAACATAACACTCTACCTCCACATCTGAAACTATATAATCAAACCCTCAGTTTCACAAATAATATCAGATTTTTTGGTATGGTTTTCAACCAAAAGCTTGCCTGGAAAAACATACAGAAGAACATAAAAAGTCATGCCGTTTAAGATGCAAATATGATTCTAAAATAGCTAGTAATAAAGAACACTTATACTAATACGTTCACAGATAGATTTCAAGACACTTTCACTACAACAAGACTAGACCCACCATTTTACGAAAGAGTTAGAATAAACCTTCATGACCTACATCTTGAATTTTCTGAAATTCTCCCAATAAATTTCCTAACTTCTCCACCTTGGTTAATACCAATTCCCAAGATTAATACTAACCTTAGTATATATGTATATATATAAAAAAATGAGACTATAACAGACCTGATTAAACAATCATTCTTAATGGAAATGAAAACTTATAAAAATCACTATAGAATATACACTGACGCATCCAAATCTTCAGATGGTGTTTGTACAGCTATCCTCACACACAATACATCCTTAAAATTTAAATTCAATCTCATTACTTTGTCATACACTGCAATACACATAATTAGAATTATTAATTTACACATAAAAGACAGTCCCAGTCCCTCATAATAACCGATTCACTAAGCTCACTTCACACTATCGAACGTTTTTATACCAATAGTCCAATTGCCTCACATATCCAATCAGAAATAGAGATTCTAAATAATAATAAGATCACTGTTGACTACATGTTTGGTCCATCACATTCAGGTATACAAGGAAATGAAGAAGCAGATGAACTAGCCCGCTTACCATCCTTCAGCTAGGACTCCATTCTTATTAATGAGGTTAATAAGTGGTGTGCATCACAAAATAAACTTAAGGAAATCAAACAATTAGTGAAACCGTGGCTCCAATCTACAGCGAATAGACACGACCAGGTGACAATAACACGTTTGCGACTAGGACAGAGTAACTTTATACATAAACACCTCTTTTCGCGAACTGTGCCGCCAATGTGTGAAAATTGTCAAGTAACAGTCTCCGTGAATACTAACTCAGTGCAAAACATATGAAGGAGCAAGAAAGAAGCACACTATCCCAAATAATATAAAGGAAGCCTTAGGAAACAACGGAAACATTAAAAATATATTAAGTTATCTTAAAGACTCAGGAATGTATCAATTATTGTAATTTTTTCTGACTTTACCTGTATTATATTTTTTAGGTCGCTAATAACCCTTGTGGTTACATCGTATATAAATAAAAAAGCCTAAACTTTTAACACCTAATAAAAACATTTGAAAGTAGATAATAATTTCTGGATATTATTTCAAAGATAAATACATTTTTATCTTTAAAATAATATAAAAATCTAAAATATAATTAATGTTTTGTTATTCATATTATTAGACGACTGGAAACATTTTATTATTTTTCGTTACATATATTTATATAGCTAAATAGGTTAATAACAGTTATCTCTACCTCTGAAACTAATATAGATATAAGCATCAACAAACGCGCTCGAATAGTTTCTAATATAATGTAAATTTATGTAGAAAGCCAGGCTACCAATCTACCTCTACGCGAAAAAAAAAACAAGTAAAGCTGTCATGTTCCCAACTTCCCATAAATGACACACCAAACATTTCCTAACGTTCCTATAGACACAATCATGGCTGGATGCTGGCCAATCGCTCTTCCAGCATCACATCTTTTCATAACCGCAGCCCGCTATTGGCTCCCGTACGCACAGCGCAAGACACGTGTAATCCGTAGCTCCGCCTCGACTGTGACGCAGCTGTGTTACAACTACACAATGTTGTAGATTGTTAGCGAGCCGAGAGACCCAATCAAAGCGGCACAGCCAGTTTCGTAACGGATATTATATCGTTTAGTTGTTGTAAGTGCGTTCGGTGATCACAAACACATGTGTCGTGATTTTCACCCACAGGGACAGTGAAATAACAATGATGACGATGGACATTACTATGTACGGTCATCATAATCAACACAACGCGCCCTACAACTCTTCCGAACCGAATTATTATAACTATTCCAGTGAAGTAAATCACTCGTCTTCCCATCATCAGTTTCAGAACTATTATTCCTCCAATTATCATTATGAAGAACCTTATTTATACGCTACAGCTCCTGCTGACTCCGTAGAATCACCGTCTTCTCCACATAATATGAATTATTACTCACATCAGCACGTCCAAGAAAATCCTATTGTGAATACAGACAGCGGACTGACTTATACAAACCTAGACTATGCAAATAGTACCTCTGGTTATAGCCAGAACAACTACAATGAAAACTATTCTAGAACTCACCCGGAGCTCGTTCATCACAATGAAAGTTCCGAAGACTCGCAACTGCAAGCCAGTTATCTTCACGAAAACAAATATCAGGTGGATATAAACGATAGCAACTATTTGTTAGGATCAGGAGCTCAGAATGCTTGTATGGAGTTTCAGCACCTTCATAGGTATAAACAAGAGATGATACCCGCAGAAGAACATTCGAGGTTACGACAACATCACGGATTGCACTCATTAAGTTCTGCCTCCATAGCGCAGCCAGTTTTGCCTACATATAAATGGATGCAAGTGAAAAGAAATGTTCCTAAACCACCTGGTAAGTTTTTTTATGCTACCATCAATTGAAATACTTGTATTTTTGTTATTTATAAGCCGTTGATAAAGATTTTATCTAAAGCACGTATGTGCGACAAGTACTTGACTAAATATTGAATAAAAAAAGTAATGTAGATATGTGCTTACATGTTCTATCAAAATACCAAAATACCTGCTTTGGTATAAAACAATTATTTAAAAATATGTCTGTACGTAACTACTGTTTTACAACATTGGCCGTTGGGCGCAACTTGAAGGCCATTGCTTTTAGTTTTACCATGAATCCACTTCAATATCACTTCTTTTCATCGCTAGATTGATACCTTTTTTCTCCAACTACCTTTAGTCTCGGTTTTAATCAGTGAACTATTGTTAATTCGTCTGATTTGTACTTATCAAAAAAGTTTTTTCTTCTTATGATCTGTTCAGTACGACAATATCTCTTTGGCCAGAATTGTCTTTTTATTTGGCCAGAATTGCGTTAACTTGATTTTACACATTCCGGTGTATTGTTAATACTTTTAAGCTAGATGTAACTGCACTTTCCATCCGTGTTTCACATAATAGTGTTTTACATAATAGTGTTTTATTTTTTTCATAAATCTTGTCTAAATAATAATATGCTTAGCTGACTCTTCATTTACTTACTATTTCACAATATTTTGTATCTCTTTCATCTTATATCAATGTTGTATTTTCTTTTGAGTTTAAAAGTTTTTTGAGTGTCCATGTAGGGTTTTGATTCAACTGTTGTTTTAGTAGTGAAAGTTTATTAATGCATTAACGTAGTGTGGTTGTACTGCGTTCTCTGTTAAGTATTGCCAAAGATTATTTGCCAGAGTATTTTATCGTAAGCTTTTTTCTAGTACATAATACTAGATGTACTCCCATATAAAGGATAGCGATTGCTTATTCAGTTGTTTTATACAAAATAAGTTATTCATGTATGATTCTTCTGGTCTACAACTACACTGTTTCTTCTAGTCTTCAAACTGACTTTGTATCGTATTAACAAAACCAGAGCATACAAACGAAAATGGAATAACTTGTAGATTACAAGTTTCACATATAAGTGGATCACTGTTCTCTTCTGTTCCTAGTTGAGAGTTCCCAAGCTGTAGCGTCATTTTAAATTCCTTCAGTATGTTTGAGAAGATTGACAGCTTTTTCACTTGCACAAAACTCGATTCTTAATAAAAGCTTTTATATCACTCGCGGTATTTCGATTTTCAGCTTTTTTCTGTATCGCCACATACAGCAATGCCAATGAGGGATGTTATCCATATAAATCTTAAATGTCTTGAATTTCCTTGAGCCTACATGTAATCGAGTTTCATATGTTTCTCAAAACGACCTTTGGTAAAGATCTATTTAAGGGTTTGAAGTGCTCTTAGCGAATGACTTAAGATAACTAAGTAGGAATGTAATTATTAGAATTGTTATGTAGAGCTTTGAGCACGGCCTAGAACTCAGCGGAGAAAATCGTGAAGTAGGTTGGGAGAGGACGTTGATGTATTTTAGAGTAAGGCATGTAGCGTCTACGCATCTGTCACACTTGAAAGTATCTGTAAAGATTTTATAACAATGCTCGTAATGCTTCATCTCTACCTGAATATTAATTTGTTAAATTAGGCCAGGCCAGTATTTATATTTGGAGTAATAATTATCAAAGGTGGGGGCTTTTGTTTAGACACTGGAGAGCTTTTGAATGCTGAAAAATATACACATCTGGCCTTAAGTTAATTCTCCAACACTATAGGTGCGCACAGCACTTTAAGAAGAAGAGGGGGTTTGTTTAGAAAAGTATCTGGAAATTCGATGTCGAGACTTTTTGGACAGCAAAACTTATTACCAAAGAGTTTTATACATTTATTAGTTTTTTCTTCTTCTTTTTATATAGACATGACGCTCTCTGTTTTTAATGTGCCTCCAGTAAGTTTTCGTTCCACTGTTTAGGTGGTATTTCTATTGGGGAACCGTCTCTTGTCGTCTTTACTACTCTATTTGTTGTCATTCGTCTTATATGATCGTTTCATTCTAGTCTTCTTCATGTTGTTTCATTTAGGCAACCTGCGGGTCTGTTTGCTCTATTCACTTGATCTTCTACTTCTGTTTCGAGATTTTCGTAGCTAGATAATATGATGCCTAGATATTTCAACTCCATCACTTGTTCTATTTATAGGTCCTTCCAGCTCCAATTTATACCTTAGTAAATTTGCTTTTATAACTATGCATTTTGTCTTTTTTGACAAAATTATCATGTTTAATTTTCTGGCAGTTATATGAAATTGGTGCAGCATACGTTGTAAAGAATTTTCACTCTGAGAGAATAGTATTGTGTCGTTTGCATAGCAGATTATTTTAAGCTTCTTTTCTCACATTTTGTATCCTTTTTTATTTCTTTTTTTTTTTGTTATTTCATGCATAATCAGGTTGAATAATGGAAAACTCAGGGAATCTCCCTGTCTTCTTCCATTGCCAGCTTAAACAGGGTCAATTAGTTCTTCTTCTACTTTTACTTTTATTATGTTTTTTTTGGAGATATTTTCGATTGTTTTGATTATTCCTAGAGGTATCCCCCTTGCGTACAATAAGTGGATAACGTCCTTTAATTTGACCCGATCAAATGCCTTATTGTATTCTAATGATTTCTCTTGCACTTGCCTCAATATAAATATAGCGTCGGTGGATGATCTTCCCGACCTAAAACCTTGTTGTTGTTCTTCTAGGGCTATAATTTCATTCAATTTAATTGTTATTACTTTGGTTATTAGTATGCACACCTTATAATTTCACACATGATTTGAAGGAAGCGATGTGTCAAAAATTTGAGATTTGGATTATTCATTTCAGAGAACATTTTAGTTCATTTTAGAGAACACTGTCTACGATTTTAGTAACCGAAAATTGAAAACCGTACCGCTACTCGTGAGACAACTCTTTAAGAATTTGTAAAAAAAAAACAGTTGAAGTTAAACTAATATCTTTGCCTTTTATCTTAACAACCAACTCATCAACCAAAAAGGTGTTTTTAACGGTTTTATGAGGCTTTTGATTATGTCATTAATGGCGATTAAGAAGAGTGTAGGGCTAATAATTGAGCCTTAAGAGGCCCAATTTTCTTCTTTCTGATTTTCGAAATAATAGTTGTTAACTCTCTTAATAAATAAAGGCAATATCCACGAATATTACACTACTTTAAAATTTTTAAGATGATATACCTCCAACATGTATTGTATGCTTTTCATAAGTTCAAAATATTGTGATACAATGTTGTTTTGATGCCAGTGATTCCTGAATATTACTTACCAGGTCTAATATTTTGTCTATCCCAAATCGATTTTGTCTGAAGCATTTTTGTTCGTTTATAAGTTAATTTGAATCTAGATGCCAAATCAGCCTTTAGTAAATAATTTTTTCTAGTTGCCTGCTCATTGCACAAGTTGGTCTAGACGAAATTTTTGGTTTTTGAGAAAAATAAGAATGATAAATTTCGACCATTGGTGTATTGATATTAGTCTATTAAATATTGGTATCGTTGCCAGATTTCTCTTCTTGATTTCTTCTCTCTTCTGATGTAAGTTTTTGGACAGTCACCACATTTAAGTTTGTACACACCACTGTGTAAGTGTTTTTTATTTTGGCTCTTGTTATTTTTATTATATTTGCCTAGGTTATTATTTGTTAGGAAAGCCGGTGTTATTCCTTTCTTTTTTATGTGTTTGGCTATTTTTGTTGATATTTTGCCTGTATATGTAATCGAGCAGAAGGTACTGGGTTTTTTCACTGGTGGTCAAATCGGTCAAACTGGTAGAAACTTTAATAAATTAATAGCAGAACATAAAAGGTTTTCAAAAATAGAAAAACAGATTCTACATACGCACTTCACCTTCTAGATCATAATCATTCTTTTAATGACGAATTGATAATTATTCACATTTAAAATAAAGGCCTTAAGCTATCTTTGTTAGAATCTATGAAAATCAACAAATTAAAAAACACATATATCTATAATTCTGAATCACCAACTTGAGACAAACAGATCTTCCCTCCTCAACCTATATCGTTAAAGACTATAAAGTGTAAACGCATGCCAAATATAGATCACTTGAGAAAGGCAATAAGCCGAAATAGCTGTAGTGATAATAAAAAAAAATTTTGTTAAAATCCTTTATAAAAGGTATATAAAAATGCCTCAAACGGGCTATCACAAACACATTGCAAAACGTTTTCGGATTAAACAATCCATCATCAGTGCAAACGGTTGTACATGCTAGTAGCCACCAAAATATATGGGTAAAAACCCTTTAAATGTTATAAATTTGAAGTTGTTTTACATTATTAGTATTTCTAATTTGTGATGGTTAAGTTACCGTTGGATAGGTAACATGGTGGCGTATGACTCTACATGAGTAAAAAAAAAGTAGAGTCATACGCCGCCATGTTACCTATCCAACGGTAACTTAACCATCACAAATTAGAAATACTAATAATGTAAAACAACTTCAAATTTATAACATTTAAAGCGTTTTTACCCATATATTTTGGTGGCTACTAGCATGTACAACCGTTTGCACTGATGATGGATTTTTTAATCCGAAAACGTTTTGCAATGTGTTTGTGATAGCCCGTTTGAGGCATTTTTATATACCTTTTATAAAAGATTTTAACAAAATTTTTTTGTGATATATGGTATACAGCCAGCTACAGGAACTTAGTTTCCTCGTGGAATTTTGTAGTGATAATAGTTTAAAATAAATTTTGTGGAAGTTTGAAAACAAAGTTTTCAGTGTTTTATTGTTACATAAAATGAATTTCCATCAACTAACGGTCGAATCTATAAATTTTCTTAAGTACTTGACAGAAGCGATAATTATGTTGGATTATTGTCAATTTTTTCATACAGACCGAGGCCTTACACTACAATAACAAATAAGATATCTTGTTCCCTAAATATAGATTTTTCTTTAAAGATACTTCTTCTTGAAGAAGTACATTGGCGATCATCACGGCCCATTTTACTTTCTCTGCAGCCAGGATGAGCATCGTTTTCCCGGTCCTCTTTTTAATTTCACTTTCCCTTGTAGGAATCCCCCGTAACCAATCAAATTAACTCATATTCTTCAATTCTTAGTACGTGATCAAATAAGCTCATTTTTATTTTTTCATAGTGTTGAGTATTTATTTTTTGATATTCCTTAATGTTTTCGTCTTTGTTCTTCTTTGTTCTTCTTTCCATCTCTTTTCCATCTATTTATTTTCGCTGCAATTTCAATTATTATTTTATTGTTTTTGTCTATAATGTTTCTAATAGGTCTTTTTTGTATATGCCAGATGTTTCTTTTATTTACATTTTTATATTGTTCATTTTTATTTTTAAATTTTCTCTTTTTCGATATCAATAATTTTATTTTTTGTGTTATTTATTATTTGCTTTTAGGGGATGTATCTTCCTCCAGTTATTGTTGTATCATATTTTTTAGGATCTTTCCTAACTCTCTCCACTCTTATTGTAGCGTTAAGTTTAGTTTATATTTCTACTTTCTGAACTTCCTTGTGTATTTGTTCTTTGATATTTTGGCAGATATCAGCTTCTTTTAGTCTTCTTAGATATCTCTAGGTGTTTTGGTGGCTGTTCTTATTTTCTTTGATTTAAGTTTTATGTCTGCGAAAAAGAGCTTGTGGTCACTTGCTACATCTACCTCTAGCTAAGCTTTAGTCGATATTATAACGTTACGTAATCTTTGGTTTATAATGATATAGTCAATCTGGTTTCTTACTCTGTTCTCACTATCATCTCTAGGGACGTTTTAGGTGTATATTCTTTGGATTGATAGTTTTTACCATGTGTTTTTGATAATGACATGTACTCTGGACATATGGACAACTATGGACTGTTCCTAGTCCATACTCGACTACGTATTCTCCATCTCTTCCTTTGCCTGCCTTCGAATTGTCGCCTAAAATAATATCAACTTCTTCTATTTTGATTTTTTCTGGTATTTTGTCTAATTCATTGTATGAATCTGTCTATTTCTTCCTCTGTACCCTCTATCAGATGTCGGTGCGTATCCTGTAATGATGTTTATATTTCACGGCATGGCATTTAATTTCATAAGTGCAATTGTGCTCGTTATCGGCATAAACTTTATTTTTTCGGTTTGTTTTTGCTGACAATAGCTAGCTCATTGCGATTTCGTAGGGTGTTATCTTTAGAGTAACAAAACAAATAGTATTCAATTACACTTAACACTACCGCTGTTAAGCCATCAAACTTCACTACATTCAAGAATGTCTATCAGGTTATGAGCTTTTCTTGTTGGTATATACGACGGTTGGACGAGTTGTATATACGACTTTGATTACTAAAACTTACTTCAAACTCCCACACAGAAGATACATGGAAATCACCTCAAGATACTCCAGGCCGCATAGTGAGAAATCAAATAGAATTACATTCTGATTAATAAAAGATTCCGGGACAGCATAACATCAGTCAAGACATACCCAGGAGCTGATATCAAATCAGACCATAACTCACTGATTGGCAAAATTAGGCTCAGGCTAAAGAAGGTTAGACGTAGTGTCAATCCAAAATTCGACATCAAGCTATTAAAAGACCAACGCACAGAACATAGTGTAAAGCGTTATATGCAGAACAATTTAAATACCGTTATTCAATCGGATGTAATGGACCAGGAGCTAGAAAAGTTACATACAGATTCAAAAAACATACGAGAGAAATTTCTCAAACCACCAAAAATAAAGAAGAAATCGTGGATGACAAATGAGATTCTAGATATGATGGAAGAGAGGCGAAAGTTCAAAGATCAAGACATGTCATTATACAAAAGAATCGATAAAAAGATCAAAAAAGCTATTAGAATAGCCAAGGATACATATCTAAGAAAACAGTATGCGAAAATACAGCAATTGCAATATAAACACGATTCATTTAATATCCACAAAAAAGTTAAAGAAGCCGCAGGCTTATATAAACCCAGAAGAGTTGGGTGTTTGGCAGATAACCAAGGCAAACCACTGTTAACTGTGGAAGAAAAACTAAACATTTGGAAGAATTATGTGGAAGTAACTTGTGCAGATGAAAGGCAGAATACCATTGACGACACTGAATGCCAAACAGGACCCCTGATTACCATTGAAGAAGTCACGCCAGCTATTAAAAGAACTAAAGATGGTAAAGCGGTAGGGCCTGACGAGTTCTGTGCAGAATTCCTTAAATTAATGGATAAACAGGAAATAAAATAGATAACAACTGTATTCAACAACATATACGTAATTGGAAAAATATCCCAAAGCTGGTTAAAGTCGACCTTCGTGACCATACCAAAAAAAGTAAATGCCAAGACATACGGAGATTACAGAACAATTAGCCTAATGGGCCACTTACTTAAAACTGCCACGGCAGAATATATAAAAAAATGCGAAAAACAAGTATCATGGACGCACTTTGGACTCCGCGATTCCATAGGCACCCGAGAAGCTCTATTCGCCGTCCAAGTGCTTATGCAAAGATGCAGAGATGCCGGAGAGTAAACCTCCCGTTTGAAGAGGTTTACTCTCCGGCCACTGGAACTCACCTAAGACATGGGTATATGTTACCTGAAGTCAAATTTAATTTAATAATAAACATCAAATGTGATTAACAACAATATGTACAATCTGTTGTAACCGTATGTATTTTAAAGAGTTTTTACTCTGATATTTTGGTGGCTCAGGCATGTTAATTTGTAAGTATACCCATTTTTGCTCTTTTTTTAACCTAAGTCAAAATTTTAAACCACGTTTGCTTTAACTAAATGGTTTATACTTATTTTAGGCATTTTAAAACCTGATGATGGAATTATTATTCCGAAAACGTTCGTGTAATTGATGTAGCCCTTTTAAGGGTTTTTTAAATATACCCATTTACAAAGATCTAACCTCTTTTTTTTTAAAGTAAAGTTGTTATTTTTAGAATTTATTTTTTTGTTGGACATGTGTTTTCCCAGGGTTCTGGGGGTCTTACACCAACTCTACTTGCATGGATGAAATGCATTATCTGCCAATGACAATAAAGAAGTTTCTTATGAGCAAATGACAAAAAGTAACAGCAAAAATTTAAAAAAATTAAAAAGTGAGACATGGACCCTAATCAAACCAGATAAATCCTTCTTATCGGTTTCTAGAAAAAAGGTACAACGAACAATATTCGCAGCTGTCTATGAGAACGGAATATGGAGGAGTAGGTATAACTTTTAACTGCAGAATATCTACAAGCATAAGTTTGGTGAAAATTATATTACAACTAAAATCAAACTATCTGCAGCGGTAGACCAAGTAACATAGAATGCTGAAAACATCTCTCTTTCCAACTGAAAAATCCAAGCAAAGGACAGAGCAGAATGGCCTAGAAAGCTTGAGAAGCTTGAGTCCTTTTAAGCGATGTAGCATTACAATGATAACGATTCAAAAGTGGAATCACTATACTTTTTAGAAAGTAAACTTTTTCAGAAAGTTAACCCCTTTAAAAGAAATAATTAGTTAAATATTACCTCTGCTTTAATTTATGTCATGTAATGTAAATAATTTTTTTTAGTCAAATTTGATACGATGTTTGCTTGTTTTATTAATAATTGCAAAAGATCATCCAAAAGTGTTTGTTAAAGTTTTTAGTTCAACGTTCCAGTTTCACCTATTTTAATGATTACTCAAACATTTCGTTCCCAGGAAAAGTTTAGAACCCTCATCGTATTACCCCACCAAATAATAAAAATGTCTTTACTATATTTACACATCCCATCATAAAACAATTTGGATCAAGGTTCTACGTAATATTGATTCATGTCCTGACCATGCATGCACTTGTAATAAAAGTTACTCAATACTTATAGAACAATGCACGCCTTTTTTCTTGTACCTTCAGAGAATGTTACTTTTTATATTATATTTGAACACTTTCGTTATCAATAGATAGATTTTTAGCACAAATAAATAATTTTTTAGGTCATGCACTTCAAATTAAATCAGAATCTGAGTCGTGTATTCCACTTGTTACCGTTTCATAAGTTTATGGTCTTTTTATGGTGCTATAAAGGTTTATTGATCGGCATTACAATATTTAAATAAGAGTTTGTTATATAATTCTGATATTATTAGTGATTTATAGCTATTTACATATTTATTAAAGTTAAAGTTTATTCTCGTTACATCATTTGAAATAGGGCTTTAGTAAAAGTGATGTGAGGTGTGACCACTATAACCATTGGTACATGAACAATAATTAATTTTGTAATAACTAATAAGAACAAATAATAATTATAGCACTTTAATTAATGTTTAACTAAATCTTGTGGTAGAGTTGAGCGGGTTGGGTTGATGAGTATTTCCTTAAGAGTAAGTGTCAAGTCCAATGCTTTGTATAGGTAGGTGAATTGTTTGCAGTCGGTGAGGATCTGTTTTAGTCACATATACAGTCACAATACCAAAGGGCTGAGTCTATCTCCTTGTTTAATGCCTCTCTTTCAATTAAATTTTTTCAATATTTTCCCTGTTATTTGTACTCTTTCTTTTACCTCTTTGTAAATACTTTCTATAATTTTTATTAATGTATTCGGTACATTTATTGTTCTCAAGCATTTTTCTATAATTTTTCCATTATCTGTTTTATTGTAAATATTATTTGTTTTATTTAGTGAATGGAAAAATGCTGGGAATTTGATCGTGAGCTTTATCAGATGTTCATAGATTTTAAACAAGTATTTGATAGAATATGCAGGGCCAGACTGTGGACAGCGATGTAGGAACTTGGCTTTCCAAAAAAAAAACTAGTCAGGTTGATACGCATGTGTATGGAACGGTTACGATGTTAGGTGAGAGTTGGACAACAATACTCGGAGATATTTAAAATAAACAATGGACTAAAAGAGGGAGATTCACTTTCATCCCAACTCTTATACTCAGCTCTGGAGAACATAATCGGAAGTGCAAGAATCGAAAAACCTAATACAGTATTTCATCGAGAAGGACCAAACTTACTACTGGCATTTGCAGACGATATCAATCTAATAGGGAACACACGATTAATGATGATGAGGACTTTCGTGAGGTTCAATAAGGAAGCAGAGAAGATGGGGCTCCAGATCAAAGAAAACAAGACGAAATATATGTATATAAGCCGCAATACCCAAAGCAGAGACACAATTGGTCAGAACATCAACATCAATGACTTTTACTTTGAGCGAGTTAGAGAATTCTAGTATCTTGGATGAACAATAACTAAAGACAATAACGGATCACAAGAAATAAACAACAGGATTCAGGCCGGCAACAGATGTCTTTTTGCCCTCCAAAACATTATAAAATCGAAACCAACAAGACGTACAGAGATACAGATCTACAAAACAATTATACGATCCGTTATGATGTATAGAAGCGAAACGTGGAGGATAACAATGGCAAACGAACAGAGACTATATGTTTGGACAAGAAAAATCCCAAGGAAGATCTTTGGTCCTGTGTTATATGAAGCATCAGGACAATATAGGATAAGAACTAACAAAGAGCTCGAAGAACGCCAACATCATAAAAGAAATAAAGTCCAGAAGACTCCAATGGGCAGGACACCTCAGAAGACATTCTGACGAACGAACAGTAAGACTCGTGTGGGAGGAAGTCTCAACGGGAAGGAGACCACTCAGACGCCCTCGTTTCCGGTGACGAGATAATATAGCGGAGACCTAAGCACTATGGGCGTGGAGAATTGTATGGAGGTTGCTCAAAACAGAAAACAGTGGAGGCATGTTGTCGAGTCTGCTAAAACTCACGAACAGTTGTAACGCCACGGAGTAAGTAAGTAAGTATTTTCCTATAATTTGTCTTTTTATCGTGTGAAATTCTGCTCTTAGGTCTATAAATGCTAATACTAGTTTCTCCCATAGTGTCTATGTATCTTTTTATTAAGTTCCTTATGATGTTGTCATTTGTCTGTTTTCCTTGACTAAATCCCGCTTGTCCTTTCTTTTCTGCTTCCTTCCTTTGTTGCTTTTCTACTTTTTGTCTTAGTCTTTTCTCTATAATTTTTGTATATATTTTAAAGCCTATTGATGACAGACATATTGCTCTACAGTTTTCGCAGTTTACATGTTCTCCTTTTTTGCATATTGGCAGGATGATGTTGTTCTGCCAGTCTTTAGGGTTTGTTTGATTTTTCCACGCCTCTTTATATATTTTCTGTAGCCAGTTTATTTCTTCATCTTTCACGTATTTCACCATTGTCGATTCAATTTCATCATCACTACCTGCCTTGCCTATTTTTATGTTTGATAATCCTTCTACTACTTCTTTTCTACTTATTTGCTTTAGGTCTGACTTTCCTTGATTTTGCTTTTACTTGTGTGACTGTCTTGTTTACCAATCGTCTCTGCCTATAAGATCTTTATCTTCTTCTCTTAATTTTTTTCTCTTTATTTTCTTCTAATCTCATCTTTATCTTTTTCTAATCGAATTTCAATGTATTTTTTTCATGCTATTTTCTTCTTTTTATTTCTGCCTTCACTTCTTTATTTTAATTTAGAAGATCTTATTTTAAATATTTTCAAGAAATTCGTCTGTTGACCATTTTTGTCTAGAACGCATAGATTTTTTTACATATTGCAATAAATAAAAGAAGTCACTTTTTTGCGTAAATGTCATGATGTCAGTAAAAGTTTCGATAATCACGAGATGGAACGCCTTTTCTATTGACTTCCCACATATATTCCATTTAAAAAATAACGCCCAGTAATTTTTCGATTTGTTGATTAGTGAAGTGATTTTTCAGCTTCAGTTCATGGAATAGAAAAATCTTATAAATTTAATTTAATTTAAATATTTACTTCTTTGAATAAAAAAAGCAAAAAACTATTATTATTTTTATATAAGTGACAATTGATCTATGCAGTTGTATAATTGTTGTATTATTGTTTATTAATATTGAGCTATATCCCTCACAGCAAGCTTAAACTTATACCTCGCAGTTTATATTAACGTGCTGACTGCACCCCATAAATATTTTTTCAAACCATGCACCGTTTACTTTTTTTATTTATAGAATCATCGTCATAATATTTATACAAATTCAAATAAAGTTTTGTTCTGATTATTTGTTCCTGAATATTGTTTACCATTGTAAACATGATAAAATTCTGACATATGTAAGTAAATATAAATTATCCAGATAAGAGAACTTCGTCTGTTAACACATTTGATAATGTCTTGTGAAGTGATTTCCTTTATTGAAATCATCGTTTTTCGATGTACGGGGGATAAAAAAAATTAGTAGTAGGTCAAACTCTCCAGGAACGATGTATCATATTAATCGTCAATTGTCTGATATTTTGTGGTGATTTTAAAGCTAGGAACTTATGTATTATGCATAACTTTGAAAGTTGTCCAACAGATTCCTTGGTGAGAAAATCTAGATGGTATTTTAAAGCAGATTAAAAAAGAGCAATTGGCAATTCAAAATGGTAATAAGCTACAGATGAAACGATATTACTTAGTACAGAGGTTTAATTTACTCAAAATTCGAATATCGCAGTATAAAATTCTGGCTAGTTCGAGTAACAGACTTAGAACCTCTTTCTTCTTCTTATAGTATCGTGCGCCTATAGGGCGTTGACGAATGATCCTAAGGCCAGACGTCTATCTTTTGCGACATGCAAAAGATCGCCTGTGTTATTTATGTCTATCCAGTTCTTTATGTTCCGTATCCACGACATTTTTTTGCGACCTACTCCTCGCTTGCCTTCAATCTTTCCCTAGATGATTAGTTAAGAGATTGCGTATTTTTTTTCACTCAGAATATGATCGAGGTATCTAATTTTTCGTTCCTTGATCAAACCTTGATCATGATCTTTACTCAATTATAATTTTGCACTTAGATTTTTTTATAAGAGCTTAGATGTAGTACTACTTCAAGCATCTACTCTGGAGGTCTTCTTCTTTAGGTACCGTCTTCTCTAAGGAGGTTGGTAATCATCACAACTATTTTTACTTTTGAGATTACAGCTCTAAACAAGTCGATGGAATTGCGATTATACCACTTTCTCAGATTGTTGAGCCAGGAGATGCATCTTCTTCCAATACTTCGTTTTCCCTGTATTTTTCACTGCATTATGATTTGTAGTAATACATATTTATCCCCTCTCATAACGTGGCCGAGATATTGTAACTTTCTTATCTTAATCGTATTCATGATTTCCATTTCCTTTGTCATCTGAGGGCCTCAACATTTGTTATTTGGTCTACCCAACTTATTTTTAATATTCTTCGGTAGTTTCACATCTCGAATTCATCAAGTCGATCGTCCACCTCTTTCTTTAAGGTCCAGGCCACTACCCCATACAGCAGCACGGAAAACACATATGAATGTAATATTCTTATTTTGAGTTACAAACTAAGGTCTCTACTGCATAATAGATACTCTTTTCTCATCTTATTAAATGTTGCTATAGCTTGTTTAATTCTCACTTTTATTTGGAGGCAATGAACCCATATTTCCAATAAAATGACAACCTTTATTTTAATACTGCTTTGGTGCAGTATAATACAACATGTGTTATACATTTTAAATCATATTAAAGTCTTCATATAATGAAACACCCAATCATTAAATAAAACCACTACCATTTCCAATCTCTAAAACCCACACATGAAAGAAATCCATACCATATAACAACATCATTCTTGGTATTGAATAAATATGAAAAGCCAAAAGAACATTATTAAAGCAAAGCCATTATTAAGGAACATTTACATGGAGTTAATCGTGGCATATAAATTAAATGCCATAAAACACACAAAACGTAGAAGAGCTCCAGGACCCGATAATATACTAATTGAACTATTGAAGATAATTGATGAAGATAATATTGATGTCTTGGTAGGCCTTTTTAACTTAGTATGGCTTTTTTCAACTTTTGTAACGATTCCAAAAATCACAAATGCTAAAGATTGCAATGACTATCGGACAATTTTTGAATAATAGTCGAAGGAGAACTGACAGAGGAAGTAAGTATATTGAGAG